TCGTCCTACATCGATACTCATCGTTTCGATATCGTCCGGCGTGGTTACGCGACAGGAAACGGAAACGGAATGAATCGCGGACGAGCGCGCTTATCGCGCTGCTTTATCCATCGCGCTAATTTTTATTATTGCCATGTTTATAGGATGTTACGCGGTCGCAACGATTTTAATATCTGGCCACATCCTATCCGGGAAAAAAGTTTCTCTCTCTCTCTCTCCCTCTCTCTCTCTCTTTCTATGATACTTCTGTCTAATAATATACTACGGAAGTAACTTCGTTTGTATCGTATTTAAATCGGACGATGAACGTTCCAATAGATATCACATGCGAGTGACACATAGACTTAACGAAACCAGCATCGAAAATAAAGAAATCCCCGCGTTTTCTGACGACGTTCTTCGTCGTCGTATTGCTCGCGCGGGTTCGTGATTCAGACGCGCGACTGAAGTGATTTATTTTCGGCGGGGCGAGCGGGACGCTTTCCGGAACGCATGATTTAAATGCGCGATGCGCGAGCCTGTCTTCGAGGGTGACGGACAGGGTGCCGCGGGGACAGCGTGGATCGCTCACAATGTCTTGTTGAAATTACAGACGTGCCGTAACGGAGTCGACCGTTGGTGGTCGAAGTTACGATTCGCATACATAAGATTGGTAGCTCTAAAACATTGAGATAATGAGTCACGGAAAAACGTTTGCAATCGCAAATCATCGCTAGTTCGTTCCGCGTGTCGTGGGTAACACATTTGCAACATAAAAAATAAAAAGAATATCTACAAGTTTTCGTATACGTGGAGGAATCAGAGTTTCTAGCAGTGAAATTAGTCGCAATGAAGAACAGAACTCTTCTAATTATGAGCTAAAAAAAATAGAAGCAGATATCGCTAGCTCAAGATTAATTATTCAAGGCTGTCGAGAGACAATTTAATCTTTACTGATGTCAAAACTTGTTGATCGAAACTGCGGAGTCGATTGATAAATGTAAATTGATAATTCTTATCAGTTAACAAGACGCTCTCGGAAAAAGATAGCTGATGGAATCTGTCTCGCTTTGTGACGCTTTCCGAAAAAATAAGAGGAACTTCTGGGTCGCGCGCGTGTACCGCCAACTAAAGTATGGCGTACACTGTAAAAAAATTGTGTAAAATTACATGTAATTTTGAGACCCACTATAATAGGTGTAAATTTCCACACATTTTTAATTTGTGTAATTGTAATACAAAATTACTTTTTCCTTCCGTACTGTAATGTTGTAAAATTACAACCATTATATTGTATAATTACAACTACTAGTGGGTCTCAAAATTACCCACTATAATAGTTGTAATTTTACAAAATTTTTTTACAGTGTATACACGGAAGCAAAGCGTCCACGAATGCGTCTTGTTCGAGTTCTGGGTAACGTCATGTATAATCAGATAGTGTATATATGTTACTCGTACGTATAATATTATAAAACACTTAAAGAAATTGAGAAATCTATATTCACATGCAATTTTTATGTTCAGAATCAGTAAGTACGTATCAGGTATCCAAAATTGTTAGTGGAGTAAAGACAGTATCAGCTACAGCAATATATACATTGACGCACGTGTCTGATAATTATCGACCCGTCATAAACTAACGTACTTCCGAAGTCTCCATAATTCATGGGCGTACTCCCGAGTATCGCGCAACCACCCCTCTCTGAGATACCCGCGTCCTCGTCCCCCTCTTTCGGAGACACTATCGCATTATTTACTCCTCATTATCGTCCTTAAATCATCCCGTCGCTCGGGAGGGACTTGAAACTGCCATTACCTCTCTTTAATCGACGAATAATAAAAATCATTCCGGTGCTCCACGGCGCGCGATGGCTTCTCAATAAAGACATTGTCCGCGGAGCAAATTCTTATCCGTTAAAAGGCATCGTCGGCGAGAACAGAACGCGCGCCATCCCCTTCCTATCCTCGAGACAAGGGGACGGACGAACAAGGACCAAGGATACGACGTTGACAAGAGGAGGGACGGGATCGGAGATTATCGGCTCCGGGATTACAACAGGCTCGAAGGCTTCGAAGCAAACGATTTTCCTCGCGCGGCGACAACAGAGACGGAGAGGGGGAGGGGGAGCGCAAAGGGAACAGAGGAAGGGCGGACGGTGGTTGAAGGCGACAGAAAAGGAGGAGTGGTTGTTATTGGCTCTAAGGAGGATACTTATTGAACTCTTAGCGGCGTTTTTATCACTCCTTTCTCACGCGCGCGCCGCTTTAAGTGTTTTTGGCTTTGTTTAAGAACTCGTGTACAGCCCCCGCCACCCCCCGCCCGCAATCGTGCCGCTGTGTTTTCGCCCCTCTCGCATTATACACCCTTAACAGGTTACGCTTCCTCCCACCATTCCCGCCACACTCCTTTTCCTTTACCGCAAGATTTTTACGGGCTCGACCTCCTTGCACGCCGCTTCGTAAACCACGCAAAGTGCACGGCACTAAAGGGTGCAACTACCACTTAGGCTCTTCCTGACCACTTCCGGGGAAAAAAGGCTTCGAGTAGCGGCGGGTAACTCGTATTCTATATTACCTCTCGAAGATTTATCGACTTGGATAGCTCTATATGCCTTATTCAAGGCCTGTGGCAGTTTGATCTATATAGCAAGTATCCTTCTTATATATATTGGAATGAGCGAAAAGAAAAACAGATTCTTTTGTAGCATTAATAAACTATTATTTTTTTTATCTATAGAATTGTTATCATTAATAAAAATTTACGCATTAATATTTTGTATATAATTACTAATTTTATCAATGTAATAAAATTTAAAGAAATATTGAAATCCCAAATACGTAAGTTATGCAATGACAATATATACGTCAGACGCAGATGTAACATTTCATTACGCTACATAAATTTATACATAATTACCTACTTATACAATTAATTAACTTTAATTGCACATCAGCCAGAAGCGTAACAGCTCGGCATACCTCGCGATGCCCTCTATCCCTAGATAAAATGAAACCCAAGAAAATGGAGCCGCCCGTACGAGACGACCGTAGTTTATTAGGTCGAATATTTGGCGGTAAAAGTGAGAGATGACCGTCATTATCTCCATTCATCCGTGTCGCGCGGCAGCTGCACGTTGCAGATCGAGATTGCAGCGGGCAGTTAGACGAGAGCAATGTTACTCGCGCAGCTTCTCGGAGACGCACGGAGTTTGCACGGTCGTCGCGGCTATTTTTGCCGAGAGCGAAACCGCGTGCGCGCGCGCACGCTCGCCCTCCTCTCCCCAGGGTTATTTACCCTCCTGATAAATATACGATAATGTTATCGTATAGCGCGGGGTTCCAAAACCGCGGGCGAGCGAATCGTAATAGAAAATTTGCGCCTTGCCATTTGCCACATTCCGGGCGCTTTAACGACCCGAGCAAGCCGATCAAACCCATACGACGTGCCGCGTTCGTCGTTACTAAATATATGCCGAGATGCGCCTATTCAATCGGACGCGACGTTAATGGACAACGCTGAAAAGCGATACGGCGCGAGATCCCCGGCGCGTTACGGCTTTTCTAAATTGACTTCGTTATCTATTTCGATAGAGCTGATCGGGTATCATTAGTTACGTTCGCTACTTATAGCTGCAGGCAGGAGTTCGTGTAGTTTCGCGGGAAACGCGCGGCGAGGTAATTTGAAACGTTTATCGCGAATCTAGGTCCCGATCGTGTATCTTTCTCGAGAGAAAAATGCCACGCGAGAGAGTTGCGAAACGGCTCACCCGAATTCATTACCTGCCGTTTGTATGCCAATCATGTTGCCTAAATGCGAATCGCCATGTAAAACCCACAACCACTTACATCTCCATAATTTATATACCAATCTACTTATAAATAAATATAATTTGTAAAACACAAGTAGGACGTTTCGTATGGTGAATGACGTACAAAGAGCTAGCTCTAAAATCTTAGGTATTATACTTTTATCGGTTAATACTATTTCCATAATCTTTGAATTAATAAATAACGTTCCCCTTTATATAATATTCTTCAATAATGTTAAATGTAATATAATATTTATTACACTTTTACTAAGATTCTTATTAAGATTACGCTTTTAATAAGATTCTTATTGACATTAAGATTAAAATTTGATTATACTTAATATAGTATTTCAATATAATACTGACATAAAATTCCTAATAATTGATTGCAATTTGTCGCAAAAGCTGACGTTCTTTCCCGTATATTATTTTGTATCGAAATGTATTGTATTCAGCTAACTTTCGAGAAAATTGCAAAGATTTTCCGTCTACGTGGCTATTAATTTAAAAAATTTAGTTGAAAAGTATGCTATTTGAAGCGTCTGAGCGACGACACAACAGTCGGTTAGAAAGGGGTGAGTGTCAGGCATGCGTGCGGTATACGAACGTGATTGCGTGGAACAGAATTGCGTAGGCGGATAAAGAAGGAGAGGGACAATAATCCACCGAATGCGGATATCGAACACGAGCAACGTTAGTCATTCACCTCAACATGCCGCGACTCACGCGTGTCTGCACACAGAAATCGTACTAGCATACACGCGGTGGTTTTGCACGCAGCAACCCCCGGGTTGGTTAAGCCGTGCGATCGCTCGTGAAGGAACGTTCGATTTGTCAATCCTTTCGCAAATCATGAGATCTGCTTTTCTTAATTACAGTGATACTATCTCATTATCTCATTATTTACGCTGTTGTTAATAAAGAAAAAATTGTATACACATGGGAAGAAAAAAATTTTGTAGGAAACATTGAAATATATACTAATAATTTTTTTCTTATCAGAGACGATTTATTGCGTTACTGACTATTTTAGAAAAAAGAGTATTAACTTGTTATTCTTTTATTTTTAATTAAATATTAAAAAGAAAGTGGAACGAGGAAAGAGGAGGAGGGAGAAGTTCAAGATTACAATCACCGTCCCACACTCCATACGGCAATACACGAGAGAGCAACATTTTAGCGGAAGGGTTCGAGTTTGATCTAACGCACCTCTTTGTCTTTGGCCTGCAACTCCTCGAGGTTGCTGTTCGGCGTCCTTCTGGGATTGCTGGCATCGTGTACCTGTTGTTGATCGCTTCCCTGCGGAGGCTGAGACAATTGGTGTCCCTCAGTCTTGGAATTGTTGTCATTCGTTGCGGCGAGCTGTTCTTTTAGCGCGGCTATTTCTTTCTCCGCCGAAGTCGCTCTCTGTAACAAGAAGAAAAGACGATAATGAATGTTAACGTTCGTAATATACCAGTATATCAATTCGGTGAGAATTGAAAATCGCCGAGAGAATTGAAAATTTAATTTTCTCGGTGACTTAATCAAACATGCGAGACGAAGATCATATTACGTTAAATTGCAAAACTGATTCGAGTCACCTTAACAATATCACGCGATATAGACGAGCAGTATTGGCATTTTTTATCAACTCTACCGATATAAGTTCTTTATACCGCAGACATTTGACGAACTAATTTTCAAGACTAATTAATAGAAGAACGGAAAAATATCACCGCTCACGAGTTAATAATAAGCGATAGTCCTGTTCACCGAGACATAGACACTTTGTAATTCGCGTGGAAGTTGTACTCCATTTCACTTTAAAGAGGTTTAATTTTGCAACGCAGCCAGAGTTTTAACGGCGCAGACGATTGCGCTTAAGGTGTACACTCTGTGCAAATTTTTCACGGTGGTCCGGATCGTTAAATTACCGTCGCGGAGCCGTGCGACGCGAAATCAATCAATTCTCGCCGGCTGCACCTAATTTCGCGGCTACGAAAAGCCGGCAAAAATAGAAACGACGGCCCGTCGAGCCGCGCGAGGCTGCTTTGATATTCTCAGCGCAGGAAATAGTAGGCTGGCGTCGCAGTTTCTTTGATCCTGGACATTGTAACGCACTTCGTCGTTCTATAATGTAATTCTTTAATGTTACCGGAATTCGAAGGCTGTCCCCCGGAGAGTTTACATCAAACCACCTGTGCAATATCTCGTCCGCGTTAGAACTATATATTTATTCGCGAAGTTGGCTCCTATACGTGATTAAGAATTACCTTTCTTTTCATTCTATGTATCGCATATCGCACGTCATGTGGCAAATTGCAGTAGCAACTAGAAATACTATATATTGCCATCAATATTTTTGCGAGTTTAACTGTTACTTAATATACGTAGTGTAAACATCGTTGCCGCTATAACATGTCAGTTACAATAATTACACCCTACACATATCATAGCGTTTCTGCATTTCTGCTGAAATCACTCATGCATATCGATACATAAAAGAGCACTGTTTCGTCAAAAGCGACGAAGGCGTAACTCTCGCAAGGAGACCATTAACGACGAAATACTTTTGGCGACTATATCTGCTTTTGCCAGATCTCTGGCAAAGAGCTCGTTAATTAGCGTGCCGATGTGCGACGTCTGCCGCGACGTTACCCCTTTATCAACGTAAAGCACAAACGAGTGTCGTAAGTACACGGAGACACGATGAAACGAAAGAACCGGTCCGGCTCTTTCAAATCAAAACTTTTTCATCGATAGGGAAAATGGGAGAGTTGATACGAAAATAACGAAGGCACCGTTAAGCACAGAAAGGGGATTACCTTTTTAAACTTTCCCCATAAAGTATCTAATAAATATTGTTCGCCGCCCCCGTTGTTCCAGCTTGGATATTAATTATAGCAAGCTTTTATATTCAAAGTAGCTCGGCCCTCGGACCGGCCTATACCCGGCTACATTCGCGGCGTGTACACGCCGGATAGTTACCCCTGCCTGCAATTCTTGTCCTCTCTCCGCGACTCTCTTTCGTCTCCTCTCTTTTCCCGCTGTCCGCTTTATCCACGTTCGCGGCAATTCGATAGAAGGCATCCGGGAAGGGATTCGGGATCGATCGGTCGAATCAAACAGGTTATACCGCTTCTGTACCGGCTCACCGCGTCGGAAGGGAAACCGGACCTGTCGCTTCTACGATCAACAATTGAGCGTCGATGACGTAACCCACCGATCCGTTCATTCATTAACAAGTTCGAGTTACGCTGACAATCACGATCGACAATTCGCTATCTTTCCGAGTGCACAGCCTACAATCGACCTACAGGAAAAGAGTGTAGACGGAAAAAATGAATAGATTTAATCATAGGTGTTAACCAACGCTGTAAACGCTACTTGTCTTAATGTAAGATAATATTGGTTTCGAGCAAAAGTGCAACTACTGAAAATAAAATGAACAACGTCGAAAGTTTCGTTCAGTTTATGCGATACGCGGCATCGACGTGTGTATATCGATTCGTCAATGTGTATGACGTCTCGTGAGACACACATATGGCGTCGCGCGATCGGCGAACAGTCGGGAGAGGTGAGGACGAGCATCGAGCATGTAGCGTGGACGAAGTCAGAGGCAAGGAGCGAGAGAGAGAGAGAAAGAGAGAGAAGGAGGGAGAGAGAGAAGGAGAAACAGAGGCACCAGGCTACAGCAGGCAAGTAATGACCCATTGTTTCCTGCAAAAAGCCTTGACGATGTTATCGATAATTGCGAAATGATACGGGAAGCATAAATACATATCTGAGAGCGAGCCGTAATATACGGCTGTTCGAATGGCGGATGCGTATCGATAGCTGCCGTCTGGTAGCATCCTGCGTATTTGTCACGTGGACACACGTCAGGAAACTGATGTTGGCGGTGGGGAAAATTCCGAGGACTCGCGGCCTGATAGACGGAGGATCGAGAGAGGTTCGCCGATAACGATCGTCCTCCCGCGCGGAGCTACCGTGATCGTTACATTAACAGCGGAAGTCGTTGGCGGATAATGATTTTCTTTGAGCGTCCCGAACGATCGAGCGGTCGACGGTCATAACGCGCGATTTAAACGTAAAAGATTCTGCCGACGATGATTTATAGCGCCAAATGCGTATCACGCCGATGCATCTCGTTATTGTTGCGCTAAATATTCACCATCGCAAATAAGCGAATGGCGATAAGTGCGCGTTCCTATTTTGTAATTAAACTGCATTGCGATGTATGACTAATTTATATTTCCCACTACATTTATGTACCGCCGGAAATAGGAAGCACAGCGCGTTTTTATAAAAAGCGTTGTGATATAAGGATCGACATCATCGATCTAATGTTTTCGCTTTAATGGGAAACGGTATGAATAAATTAAATTGTGCACAGAGCAGATTATTGCTTAACATCGCTCGGACATACAATACCGTACTACATTTCTTTTAGGTCATAATATATATCATAGGCACAAGTCAATATTTAACTTCGATAAGCTCTGCAAGTGGCCGTTGCTAAAGTTTCCGAACTTGTCGAAACGGATAGTAATGATGCCATTAGTAACGAGATCGCGATACCGAGAATAATAGACCGGCCGCGTAATGCTAGCGGGGGAAACTTTACATTGCCTCATGGCGGCAATATAAGTATCCCCGTTATAGTTTCGTAGAACAATCGATCGCCTTCACAACATGACGGATGTCTGATAAAAACTGACGTGGTTCGGTTTTGTTGCGTGTATGCCATGCGGCTTCGGAATCGCTCGTATAGTACGCCGCCGCCGATAGAGCGCTCTTAGACCGCCCGTAGCTTGCAGCGATATTTTACCGTCGAATTCGTAATTACTTTAATTGGCTCCAGATGCTAATTAATGACCTAAACATATGCCATGTTATATAGATCCGGCCCGATAGGGCGACCTATACACCGCGGAGTCAGGATCCGGGGTGAGAACGCATGTGTTTGTCATTACATGCACTACGACGATTTTATCGCTTCTGAATAACATCCTCTACCCTTGCCGCGCTTCTCGCGCTCTACACTCGCCGTATCAGATCCAGAAAGCGCCGATCGCCGATTAAAGTACCCGCGCATCGGTTTGTATTAATACCATTGTCCCGTTAGAAGAATACAAGCGCTCGTTAATCGCCCGATGATCTCTAGTGTATATTTCCAAGTACGGCATAAAAAAAATAATGTAATATCGATTTCATTGATCGATTTCATTGATCGTGCCAATTTGACAAGCACATTAACCTTTAGCTGGAAATCGTGTAGGTCTAACATGACCGTTGCCGGTTAAGAATTTGATAATCTCGGAATAAAATGACAAACTTGCTTTACTCGTCGTACATTGTTTGCGTCAGCGAGAAAACGAATCGAAATTGAGCAGCTGCGCTGACCCGATTTCATTGATCGTGCCAATTTAACAAACACATTAACCTTTGGCTGGGAATCGTGTAGGTCTAACATTACCGCTGCCGATTAAGAATTTGATAATCTCGGAATAAAATGACAAACTTGCTTTATTCGTCGTGCATTATTTGCGTCAGCGAGAAAACGAATCGAAATTGCAGCAGCTGCACTGACCCGAGAACTCGCGGAAGGAATGGCGAGCGTAGCAAAATACACGGAGCGGATTTCGTGACACGATCGAATTACTTCGTTACGGACGCACGTCAGATCGGCGATTGGGCGCCCGTCGTCCTCGCCTATCATTACAAGATGCTACTGGCAGCAGCCGCCGCAGTCTCGATTCGATCGTCCGACAGCATCGATTACACCAGCCGCTTTTCAACCCTGAAGAGGGAAGAAGGTGAGCAATCGCGCGATGTGTGCCGGCACTTGGATCGGGTCGATCGCCGTACCGTCGAGTCAAGTCGTTTCGTCTCGGTCTCGACGCCCGTCTTACACCCCTTTTGCAAATTGACGGTTATCCGACGGTTATCCACGGTGCCCGGCTGCGTCGATCGATCGGTACTCACTGATTCGACATAGGGACGTAAGGGAATCTCAGTTCCTTGCAACACGCGCGCGGACGCAAGAACCTTAACTGCGGGATTACCTCCTGCATCTATATATATTGTATGGTCACGCACTTTGTGCGATCGCCGCTTCTACCGCCGGCGACGAGAGTCGAAAGAATCGATTTCCTACGCGCTATATCGTTGCATAATGGCCGACTGTAAATGCGTCTGGGTAGACGTCTTTTACCTGTTATACTGCTGCGATCATTCGAGCTTTCTATTATTGGAGTAACTGTTATATACTCGAAAAAGTGCACGAGTATTTTTAATTTATTATTTATAAATGTATATCGTTACTTTCTTCTAATTTTCTACACTTTTTAAGTTTATTTTCATGAACACATTAAAATCCATAAAAATAAATTTTTGGAATAAATAATAACAATACATTAATA